GTTTTCACTCGGTTGTTGCATTTTGTTCTGAAAACTAACATTACCACGAGATTCAGCATAGTCGATAACCTATGTTTTCATTCGTTTCTGACAGTCCTAAACCTAACGGCACAGGAGTGCTAAGGCTTCAGGGAAAACATCCATAGCTCCCGAATCATGGATTTCTAAGATGTCGCTTGGGTCTAGTTTTGTAGAGGACACTTCGGAGTATATATCCAAGTAAAACAATTCATAGATTTCTATGCCAACTTTCAGAGAACTGAACTGGTTTTCTACAGATCTCCTGAAAAACTGGCTTCGGAAATATTTCCGAAATTTGCTTTTGCTCATGAAAGTATGCTGTCAGGTGTCTAGTTTTCAACACAACAATGAAAACCTATCACTAAAGAGTAAGTGTGTAAGAAAATCAGTCACTATAGGACATCGACGTGGAATCACATCTTAGAATTCGCTGGTTCTTTGATATGTTGTAGAGAGTGTTGGCACACACAGAATATGATATAAGAAAACACTTTCGCTACGATCCATAGAAATTGTCCATGAATAATCCGCAAAAACAGATCCGGTCCATTGTACCATCACCTGATTTCAATCACCCTATTGTGGAATAATCTCGAATGCTTCCCATGCGCTTACTGAATCCCGATTGGCGATGAGAGGACTATTTCCATTGTTGTCCGCACAGACGAAGCGATTATTGGCCATTGATTTGAGTGCTTGAGTACCGTCAGCCAATTTCACCACTTGAAATGTTTCCCATGTGCTGATTTGATGTCGATTGGCAATCAACGGGCTGGCACCACCACTCTCGGCTGCCACATACATCTTGTTGACGACGGCTCTCAACGCAATAAGGCTGAGATTTTCATCCACCGGAACGATTTCGAATTTTTCCCATTCGCTCACCGCGTCCGAACGTGCGATTAATGGAAGAGAACCATAATGTTCTGCCGCTACGAATTTCCCGTTGGCTCTGGACTTGAGTGCTACTGTCCTGAAAGCTATACAAGAAGAGCGGATGCAGTAACAATAACATTCTCCGAATTTGATTCAGACGTATTGGAGTTCTGCATACTCATTATAGCAATATCTTAAAAAAGCATTGTTGCTTAAAAGATCACGTTTCTAAAGTAGTGCTGTAATGTTCTTTTTTCCAGTACAGAAGGAAACTAGCCGGGACCGTCCGGAGTTCTGAGCACTTGAAGCTGTTTCGTTGGTTAAAAGTTATTCTGTAGTGCGCCAAATATTTCTTGAACAGCGCTAAGCAATTCTTATTGAAAACTTGAGTGAACCAAACAATGAAGAATTTACTTGAAAGCATTCTCTACAAAACTGGATCTAACGAAAAGTTTCATTTTGAATAATCTGGGCGCTGAGGACGTTTTCTCGGAAGCCTTAGGACTTTTCCATCGTTAAGTTTAAAATATAAGAAATACATGAAAACATAGGTTATCGACTATGATGAATCTCGTGGCAACAGCTGTTTTTCAAAAAGATATCAAAAACTTGTGAAAATGTATGTTCGGTGAAATATCCCATTTAGCCAATTTTTGAATAACTTCAGAGAATATTTCAGAGATATTTAAGCTAACATACGCTTTCGCTAAGTTTTTGAAACTGTCTTGCAAAACAGCTGTTGCCACGGGATTCATCATAGTCGATAACGTATATTTTTATATATTTCTTACAGTATAAACCTAACGGTAGAGAAGTCCTAAGGCTTCGACCTGTGAAATAAAACGGGCAGATTATTGTATCAGTTTCAAAAAAGTCCAAGACGGTAACTGAAATAATCAAAATTTGGAAGACAGGAGGAAGGAAGGAAAGATCATCTATGAAAGAATTATTACCATAGACCTCTGTAAGGCCTCAATATGAAACGCCTCCCTAAAAACGCTACGTCGCGTTTTTAAGCTTAGGATTCCATAGGGCTTCTAAGGAAGAACTTTCATCACATTGGTGATTGCAAAAGCACGGGTAGATTATTATCTCAGTTTCTAAAGGTCCGAGGCAGTTTTCCAAAGATCCTCTGAAAAGAGGAAAAAAATAACAAAATGTGTTGTTATACAGTTTTCTGTAATTTCCTTTTATATGTGTACACATATTACACGAGACATGGAAGGCATATTGTATCTCATGTGGACCAGTGCCTCAACTCGAAGGTAAAGTAATCCTTCTGAACATTCTGAATAAAGAAATAAGGTCTGAAACCCGTAACAGTAAATAATCAAGTTTATAAGATCTGCGGCCAAGATCCCAATTAGACTGGAAATCTTAATTCTCATGGAAAAGACAAGCGCCGTGGTTGCGACAATGAAATGACCACGAGTATCGACATGCAAACCGAGAGTAAACATGTGATAAGTCCCTACTATAGACAGACCCTAACAAACCTGCATATTATAGCATACACTATACCCAGATGCCCAAATATGTTCACCTTCAGCGAAGTCCAGATCACGATTTGTGAAGTCATAGCGAGGCCAGGTACAGTCAAACTGTATACCTATGGATGCCCGGAAAATGAAAATAGCAAAGAAAATTGAATGCCTTTTACATAACGAAAATCTTTTATGACATTATATGTGTACACCTTGATTGTCACACCTATGCTTGTCTCCTTTGTTCTTGCATAATCTGATCAGAATAGCTAAGCTCCACTCCTCCACCATTTCTTCGTTTTTCCAAATATCAATGAAGATGGCATGTAACCATTTGATGGCTGGTTCACCACCAGCTTTCAAGAAATCAGCAGTTACTGCGTCGCTTCCTGGAGCTTTCCTCGATTTCATTTGACTCAATGCACTTCTAACTTCTGCCAAAGATGGTTGAGCATTCTGACGGTCTTCTTCTACCTTAGATAAAGTATCTATTTGAATTTCGTCGATCAAATCAGGATCTACAAGTGACCGAACGTTGAGTAAATCATCAAAGTATAATCGCCATCGTTCCAAACGATGAGCGAAATGCAGAAGCAGATTCCCTGTTTTATCTCTAATTGGCATGTTTTCAACTCGTTTGTTCCCTCCTATAAGCCACCTGATAATGGAGAAGACAATGGCAGGAGCATGCATCTTGATGGAATTACCTTGAACTCAACTCGCGGTAGTGATCAACAGAACATTCATCGAGAGTACAAAACACGAACTTTTGTTAGATTATTTGTTTTTCTGTATCTTATTTTGTTTCGCACCCTACACCGGAAACGGTAATGGGGTCTAACTCTAACTCTAATATTTGAATGCGTCAGATAGAGTGTACACATATAACGTCATCAAGGATTTTCTTTATAGAAAAAACATTCGATTTTCTTTGTTATTCTCTTTCGTTTCCTCCTCATATGCACAAATAAAGCACTTGTACATATGTAGTGTCACAAAGTGCGAACACGTGGGACAACGAGAAAAAACAAGACGAGTTAAAAGAATGTCTATTGAACTTCTTCAAAACCTAATGCGTCAGTCTGCTATGAATGGGAGATACTTTAAAGTCCATTCCAAAGCGGCCGAGTTACAAATCTAGCACTGAGAAAACCGGTATGGTGATAGCTGTTAGACAAAGAAGATTCATGTTGTTACCTCCATATTTATCGGTAATCCATTTTCGATCAGTATTCGGTAGAATATCACCTTTTGGCATTAATTGATACGTTGGATACATAATTGATTGTTTGTCTTTTGTATTATGCTTTAAGCCGAGTGCATGACCAATTTCATGTACAGCAACAAGAAATAAATTTGTACCATCATGATCGAACCTAAAAGAGATGGTCAACAACTATAGATGAATTTCTACATGTGATGGACAAAGCCTTACCTTTCAATCCAATTTTCAGCTGAATCAAAATGAACTCGTCCATCTTCTGGAAAATATGCATAAGCCAACGTTCCACTTGGACCATCTACTGGAACAAAATTAAAGACAATATCAGCCTCACATGTTGGACAAACTTGTTCTATATTTAATGGTGTATGTTTTATCCAATGTTCAAATGCATCTCGTATAATATTGAGTGATTGTGCATGAGAAATTCGTGATGAGGAATTGCGTAATGCCCATCTCAAACGGGTTTTGCTCCATTTAGATTTGGTTAACGCTAACACTGATGATGATAGAGGTCTATCTGCATTGCCACATCTTGGTGTATTCAATAATTCTATGGTTGGCTCATCAAGTTTACCAGTTTTTTCTAGACCAAATGTCTGTTGGTAATCACGAAGAATTGACGAAAAATTAATACTACATAATACTTTCGATTGGGACTGACATTTGTTATAACCAAGTTGAGTTAAATACTCAAGTGCTTCAGCTTCTGTTCCAATGGGTATCAATGATACATGATGAATGAAGAATAAGAGTACAACTACTGCGAGATATAGCTGCATACTTGTATGGTAAGGTTTCAAGCAGTTGAAAGATGATATTTGAATACAATCTCAGAAACATGGCTATTTATTGGTTTTCAAATCGTCATAGGACATAAATATTGTGGTTACGCTTACATGTGTCACAACATTTGGGAAATACATTAGAAGGAATATTTCCCATATCTGTTATTTTCTTTTCCTGTTTATGATGAATGATATTTATCTAGGAAGGAAAATTGTCCCTTTTTTGTTCTTTCTTTTCTTCTCCTGTAAAAGAAACAAAAGTCTGGAAAAACAGACCGTCATATGTAACTGTACAAGGCATCAAGAACAACAACAGTTTTAAATAAAAGGATATGGCACACTAATGTTTGGTATTCGTTTATGTGAAATGGCCCGTCGCAGTTTTGTTGAATATTGAAAATCCGAACTCTTTAGGTTGGTCCTTTTATTCTTGACTTATTTAAAAACAGTCTAGTCTACCAACACCAACTGGTTTAGTTTTGATTCAATTTGTTGTCCAGCAGAACCGTATACGAATGGATCATGAGCATCCACTTTTGTCTCTAACAGACACAAGTATAGGTCGGTCAGTGTGAGATATGAGCCCTGGGAATGAGGCTAAGATGCTTCATGTGTTACCATAGAGTACCAGAGTGATCTTGTAGGCCAGTTCAGGAGCATGCAGCCTGCTGATACGGGCGTAAGCGTGGTTGATTTAAATCTCAAGTTGGCATATCAACGTCGTGGTTGAGTTCTTGGACACGGTTGTCATTATTCGTAATCACGCTTTGGTGCTCGTTGCCCAATGTGCAGTGTGTTCTCTGTTCGTTCATCTGGTTGCCGGGACCTTGTTTTGTCCTGTTCTTCTCTCTCTCTCATTCACTACACTCCACGTCTTCATTTCTCTTGTTGTCTACATGTCTCTCTCTCTTCTCTTACTTACATTTCTCTCATTCTTCACTCATTCTCATCCACAGCTACTACCTCTTGTGACACTGACGAGAGCATTTAGCATCTCACCTCTCTCCTCCACCGTCTAGTGACAGTAATAAAGCCCACATGAGCCTTCATAATTTATAAAGATAAAAATATCTCATAAACAATCGTGTAAAAAGAATACGCAAAACTATGGTGTCGAAATGCAGTTTTAATAAAAGTCAGCCACCGTTCTCGCAACAATGTTGAATCGTCCAACATCATCCTAAAAACTGTTTTAGTCATCTCAAAAGTCGATTAG